CCATCGTCCCCGGATTCCAGTACGTCTCCTACATAATGCACGTCGCAACGTCCGGTTCATCTGGTATGTCCACTTGTCCCGCTCGCGGTATGATTGACACACGCGGAGACGACTGCGAATTCAGCACGTCCTGTTGGGAGAAGTCTGAAAGACCAGTGTGAGCGAGAACAACGAGGACCCATTCACAGATGTGAGTGAGGCCTTCACTCTTTTAGTGTCGCTCGCTATCCTGCGGCTCTTCTCGACGGACCACGATCCAGGCGAGAGTCCATCCGTTTGTTCGTTCGTCCATCCGTCCCTTCTCGCTTCGCGCGGGCTCGGTTGTTGGTTCCGTACTCTTTCGTCGTCCATCCGCAGGCTGGCCGGACGTTTCATACGCAGGAAAACGGCGGCACGAGTTGACCGAGCAGCCAGTCGGCCGAACGGACAACTGGACCGGCTCCGGGAGACGAGGGGAAACATGGATTCGCGCCCGAAACCCATTCACTCGGCACGGTTTGACTCCAACGCCTGGGCGGTTGGACGGAGTTACGATCTGACCCGCGATTGCTCATGACTAGTCATATCACCGTATTCATTTTTTTTCGACCTCGGAGTTATCGGAAAGTGTCCATCTCGCACCTCGCGCGTCCTTGACGTCCGAGGACTTCCCCAGAACTTCGCACTTTTTTCCGCTCTCAACTGCCTCCTCCTCTTCTCACCCCGCCGGCGGTCGCGTGAGGGGAGGGGGCGGGGCACTGGAAGAAGCGGCGCTGCAGAATAGAGGAGATACGACATTGTCAAAATGATTAACGACGTCCAAATACAAAACGAGACACCGAAAGTGTAGCCGAGAGGAATCGAGAGACAAGCTGGACTAAAGAGAGGAAAAAACGAACAAAAGCGAGGGACTCTCTGAGAACAGGATGACACAGAAGTGAAGCAGCCGTTGGCGGTGGTGACGGTGGCAACGTCACCGACGGAACGAAAACGTGAGAAAAGGAGGACGATGGTCAAATTACGCCGGAAGAGAAAGTTAGAATCGCTCAACCGACGAAACAAGACGCCAGTTCGTCCTGCTGTCGACGTCGGCCTTCGCTCAAAACCCTCTATTTGCTCACGAACGAGCCTGAGAAACAGGACAAGTGATACGGACAAAGATAGAAAGCTGGAGATTAGATCAGAGTTCCGACGCAATAGTCAATTTCGAATGAACATATTGTGTGCATGACCCGACACCATGGCCATCCGTAGAGGGGTTAAGGGAGACAACTCTCCTGGGGACGCCAGAAGGATCCGGACCAATCTGACGCCGGATCCGGGTGTCCGATTGGGCGCTAGGCGCAAAGTCCCAGCGTGTTTTCGTTACTTAGTATAGTTTTTTCCCATAGTTTTCGTTACTTAGCATTTTTGCGAAAAATCCTACGGAAATACTGTCTCCGATTCATAGCGAGCGGACTCGCTAGAGAGATGTTTGCGAAACATTTTGTCCCGAGTAAAGGGCTGCCGCGCTGGCAAATAGCTCTTGAAGACATGCTTCATCGGCGAGCTTCGAATATATATATTTTTTTAATAATATGACGGTAGTTTATTACCAGAAGGGGACGACAGGCGTACTCGCAGTGAGCCAACTGGCTCGTGTTACAATCGCACGGGAAAATGCGTCGCGGTCATCGGTTATATAATTTTTTTCTCAACGGCTGGGGAGGCCTTCTGTGCGGAGTGAGATTTAGATTAATATGTGATTTCGGTGATATCTTCGGCTCTGAGGGAGGCTAAGTGGGATCATAAGGAGGTTGAACATATCTGTCGGTACAAACGCGCTGATTTCCGAAGATCATTCTCGTGGAGTTTCGGAAATTTCTTCCGCAACCAGAGTGGAAATCAGAGGAGAAAATCCTCATCAGACCTGATTCTGCTGTTGTTCGTTCCAGTTCGGCTGTTTGGGCATCCAGCGCTTGAGCTTATCCCGAGGCGGAGGACAAGAACTCGCGGAGTGGTTCTACACAAAGTTCCAAAGTCCCTGGAATTCCGCGCTCGGCCGGAGTCGCTTTTGACATGATTGCGAAGACCAATCCGTGATGGATTAGCTAGAGTTTTTGGGTAAGCAAATGCTTCTTCCCCCACTCCCGAACTAGTTTTAGCCAGGATTTGCTTTCAGCCGATAGACGACACGACGAGATGAATGACAGTCTTTTCCTCATTCTCCATCGGATGCTCCCTGACAGCCCTGACGGGAGAAGCCTCTTCCATGTGAGCCTTGAGCTCAAGCTAAAGACCCCGATTTCTTGTTATTTTGCACATATCCACGAAATAAGTGAAAAATAACTGAGCCCTCTGATGCTGACAAAAATGTCCGGCATCAGAAACCCTACATTTTTCTGAGTTTTTGTCGGAGGAACAGAGCCCGGGAATTCGAGAATACACCTAGTCTAAGAAAGTTCTCCCCAGATCTCTACTCAGTCAGTGATCTTGGATGTCGCACATGGGTCGTTCCCATCGACCGAGATCAGTCGGCTGCGGGGCTGGCGGGAAGAGCGTCACAGCTTATCTTTCAGGCTCCATTTTTCGGCGTGGCCAATAGTTATTCTTCGCCGAACGTGTTCGAGATTCTGCCGTGCGGAGCTCCTAAATTCGAGACACGACTGGCGGCACCTGCTGTCTGCTCAGTGGTCCACCAGACGTCAGTATACACTGCGGGAGCCGTACGAAGTATATATTTATATGTGGCGCGGAGACGTGATCTCTTCCCATCGGGGGATCTCCCTTACAAATATCTCTCCTTCATTCTCCTTTTGACTTCAGTGCATCGCCCCCCTCACCGCCGTCCTGGGAATGAGCCTGACCCAGTCATATCAGGTTCCGTTTTCCCGTGAATCAATACGAGGGATTCCTCCTTGGCGAAACTCAACTATATTGAACGTTTCCGAGAACATTGATGGCCGCTTGTTTCTATATTCTCTTCACTTGTACCGACTCTGTTTCGAGATCCCGATTCTTAGCTCAGGCCGACTATAGTTCCGAATTTTCTCAGATAGCGGACGGAGAGAGTCCCAATTCGGAATGGCCCGGGAAGGTGGGTCGCCTTGGGTCGGAGACCTGTCTGGATTGAGCACAGGGACCGGCTACAGAGGAGATTTGCGTGACTCTTATAGCAACTGACCAAGTTTTCGCACGTAGGAGAGAAAGTCCATTCACCCTAAATCATTTGTCATGTGCGGAGGCTCTTTCAATTTTTTCTCCACGAGTTCTTTGCCCTCAATTTCCCTCCTTCGCAGACTCCACGGCGCTGATCCGTCAGGATTTCTCTGTATGCAACGCTTCAACTCAAGAGGCGACAATTGGCCGCCGCGCCGCGTCGATGCTGGAAATTTGGAAATGATTTCTTCAGAGATTCTCACTCTTGGTTCTGGAACGAGATTCGGATGTGCTCTCGATCATGATTGATGGTCACAAAGGAATGAATGACAGGTTTACTCAAAATGAAAATGCTTTTATTCTTTCTTACAAGTTTTTCTGATCCATGGTTTCCCCCGAATACCCCGACCCGACCCCTCTCTTCTCCAAGACTCGGTCGAGCGCTTAATCGCTTCCTCGATCGACGACAGCGATATTTTGTCGATTCAGTGATAAAATATTCAAATGCGAGTCCGACACTTGCTCTCAATACATTCGTTCATGAATCGGCTCCCCTAGTCGACGTCGACCAGAAAGTATTGAAATTCACAATCGGAGTCTCTATGCGATCGTGGGCATTCTGGGATGAGGAGAACACACAGAAAACTCAATAGGGAGTCCATTCCTTCAAAAACATAGAGTCTGTCAAAGATGATGATGCCTTCCTAAGACGTTGAAGGAGCGTAGATGTTGAGCGGCGAACTCGATTCGCATCTTGCGTCGTTAGTCAATATTAAATATTCTCGTTGAATTATTATTCCCATCCATATCGTTCTCATCGTAAGTATCAATAATATTCGTTCAAGCTCCGTTTATACACGTATTTACAGTACACAGTGAAATCATTATAATTATCATTATAATTATCATTATCATGACACAGTTCTCCCCGATCTCCAAAGGAGAAACGTGAACTCCCTCCTATCTGAGACACAGTTCCCTGTTGATGCATTTAGTTCTCCGGTGGGCGTCTGCGCGTAAGACCCCGACTCGACTTCCGTTCCTGTTCTCCAATAATTCTCCGATCCGTATCACCCCTTCGCATCTGTACCAGATTTGAAGAGCTGCGGCGGAACGGCAGGCCGGATGGAAGAGGACCTTCCGTCCCCGTGTAACGATGCTGAGGGTTCCTTCTCGCTGGGCAATATCCGTCACGTGGGGGCCAGACTCGAAGAATTTGCGTAGTCGCGACATAAAACCATCCAAGTTCTCCTCTGGCAATCGACGGAACGAGAGAGAACAGATTCCTCCCGTGAGGATGCTCGCAATGAAAATATTGCTCGCATCCGCCATGGAATGCCTGAGAATTATTCACCCCAATGCCGGGATCGTGTCCCGGTCCTAGACGAATAATTTTTTTTCCCGGACGTGACGTATTTTGCGAACGAGTTCCAACGGAATCACTCGATGCAGAAAGGTGAGCTTCGAGAACGCGCGATTATTCTCAGTCGCATAAAACTCTGAACATAATTTTTTTACAAACACGGAGATCGCAAGCTCCGTACAACGTACAGCTCATCGTCCGGATGCTGATGATTGCCGTAGATCGGAGGCAACTGTCCAACGCCTTGGGCTTGGGGCGCGTGGGGCAGATGAGGAGCGTCGTAGAGAACGTACGGTCCTCGTGAGGCTCCATACATACTGGGCACGGGGGCGGGCGCGTAAATCGTCGGAACAGGATGCACGCGCGACATCGAGCTGCTGCTACTGCTGGTGTTCAGTACGAAGTTGTCCCCGGGTTGGAGAGACTGATGCGGAAGCAGATCGAGCGTCTGCAGTTCCGGCGTCTGCTGTACCAGATCCAGGCCGGGGCTAAGTCCCCCCTGACCCGGAATGAGCCAGGGTCAGCTGTTCGGTGGTTCGAGCTGAACGTCATTCGTTGGAATCTCGCGTGTTTTACGGTCTTTGTGTCGTCGACAATAGAGCAGGACGCTCGCTGTAGCGATCACGACAACGGCCAACAGCGAGCCGAGTGCAATCGCTAAATACATCACAGGAAACTGTTGACAATGTTCAGGACGCTCGTCGTGTCCTGAGGGGCAGTGCACGGTCCCGTCGCACCAGAGCTCCGGTGAAATGCAGGCACTCAGCTCAGGACACTCGTAGAGGCAGTTGACGTTACGCAACGTCAAGCCCGACGACGTTCTCAGGAACGGTTTCGTCACCTCGAGCCAACGGACCTTGAAAGCTCCCGCTTTGACCGCGATCGCTTCGACGAGGACCCGATCCACGTTCCGTCGGGTCACCCCGCGAGGCGTACGCTCGGACTCGTTGTACCAACTCAAAGAGAAAAGGTCGAACTGCTGTTCGGGCGGCAGTTGCCGTTGCTGCTGCAACAGCTGTTGTTCTTTGGACGCGTGGAATGCGTCGGTGGTCAGCGATTTAGCGTCGCCGTTGGCGTTGATGTTATCGTCGTCCGTGCAAACGATCGCGACCGGGTCCGAAATTCCGTCGGCGTACACGACGAACTTGTTCGCCATCGGGTTGCAGGCGGCCGCCCGAGACCCGTCGTGGCCCTGGAACTTCAGGTAAAGGTACTTTTTCGGGCTCGACTCGATGTACCAACGACACCGTAACGGTGTATCTTGCGAGTTGACGTCTTTCGCGACGAAAGTCAGTTCGCCCTCGGAGCCGTTGCTACGAGCGGTTCCTCCTTCGCAACTCGTGGCCGGTCGGAACTCGTACGACGCCTCGAAGCTGAAGTTGTTGAAATCCTCGAGCGCCGACATGCCCTGCACGGTGAAAGACAGCGTGACGTTGTTGCCCACCGACTCGATGAGAATGGGCTTGCGGAGCTGCGAGGTCGTGTTGCAGAAACAGCCCATCGGAGTGAAGGTTTCCCCCCAGTGATCTGTCACTTGGATCATCGAGATCCTCGGTCCGTTGGGTCGAGACGAAATCATTCGGCAAGTGTATCGCTGCGTCGCCTCGTCGTAAAAGTGGGAGCACTGGGTCGTCGGCAGGTTCAGGTTGGTCAAATAGATACGCAGTTTCTCGCTGGCCATCCCGGAGAAATAGTATGAGCACGTAATGTTCTCGCTCCCGCCACGGCCGTACATGAAGACGTTTTTCGGCGAAGCGAAGTGGCCGAACTTCGATGTGCTGCTTTGGAAATGACGGTGGCACGGACCGTGATGAGGGCCCATGTCCACGCCGGCCTGTTCCGTGTCGACGAACTCGTAGCGAGCGATGAACGAGCTCCGTCTGAGCGGAATGTCCGAGGATTTGTAGAATTTCTGTCGGATGATCAGGTCGGATCCCGTCGATAGATAACTATCGTCGGGCAGACGACACGGTCGCAGTGGGATGTTCTGGGGGAATTCGGCGGCCCGGGCGCAAATCCTCGGCGAGGTCTTCTCGCAGAACCGTCGGACCGACAAGTCCATCGAGGAGTTCGAGTCCTGGAACAGGGCCTGGGCGCCGACGTCGACGATCTCCAGGGACGCTACGTCGCACTTTTCCACGTTCGACCAGCGCTGTTTATCCTCAACGAAATACGAGAGGAAATAAAGCCATACCCTGTCGTGGATGCCGCGTCCTTTGAAGTGGAACGAGCACGTGGTGTTCGGCGGTATGGTGTGGTTCGGAGTGTAGATCCGTCCGCGACGGCGAGCGCGGCTGCCGTCGATTTCGAAGCTGCATTTGCCGCCGCTTTCTACGCGGTACTCGTCGACGTTAACGAAACGCACCTCGACGTCGAGCTCGAGCTTCGATGCGTAGAGTTGTTGAGCGCCCGCCGAATTCAGCTCGACGGTTACCTCGGGTCCGGACGACACGATTTCCGAGAGAGCGCCCGACCCACAGAAGCGCGATAGGACGCTGGCTCGCGGTGTCGCGCCGTCGTAGATGCGAACCGCGTCTCCGAGACAGTCGGATGTGAGCGTACGCTGCGAGCTCGCTCCGCCGGGCGAATTACGTCCGGTGTAAATAGAGATCTTGTACTCGTTCTTCTGCGAAAGCACGATCTGGGCTTGGGTCCCGGGCGGCGACGAGAGATGGCGGATCGTGAAGCGGCAGGTGAAGTTCCTCAGATAGAAACCGGGGAAATTCGGCGAGCGGATCTTGCATTTATTTCGATTGCAGTTGTCGAATGTGCGGTCGCAGAACGAGCCCGGGGTCCGGAGTCCCAGATCGATCGGGTCGTTGGCATCGCCGTAGCGCGTACGCGATGGTCTACTCGGATGGAAACGATATGTGAGGTACAGATTGAAGCTGTACGCGTGCAGGGACGCCCGGTTCGGGATGACCACTTGCAGGGTGACGTTATTCCGTTCAGAGAAGAAGATCACCGGACCCCCCGTTGTAATGAGGTCCCCGCAGAAGCGACCGAACTCCGGCTCGGAGAGCTCGCCCCCGTCGTAAAACGACGAAAGCGGCGCCGCAACCGGTTGCCGTCCTGCGGCCGAGAGGAATTGGTTGAAGCCCCGGGTCTGAGACGTCCTCACAATCGGGGACGAGGACGTCGGCTCGGTGAGCGCGAGGTGACCGTTGTAACATGAAGCGCTCTGATTCCTGAAAAATAAGAGAGAGGGAGTTTTCAGAGGCGAAATTCAATAGCAGCGGAACATTCCCGCCCGGAACACCCGCTGGAGATATCGGTGTTCGACTCGGCTTATTGCTGAGCGTACGGTTCCTGAGAGAGCGATTCAGCCATAAACAACGGGAAGTAACCCTAGGAGAGGTTCTGCCGAGGGCTAAGAACGCCCCGACTGAGAACACGGGCGGCGGCCGGCCGGATAACTCGACCGAGCCCGTGCCGACCTCGTGCGCACCCAGCGATATAAGAGCCACGGCGTACAAAAGGAGAAGGGAATCGAAGGAGGGGAAAGGCGGGAGCGAAGCCGACTCGGGGACGAACGGGGCAACGTTCGAGGCGTTCGCGTGCACCTTCCTCTCCTCTCTAATTTATCTTCAGGCCAAACGAATCGCCGAAACGGTTTCCAATTCAAGAGCAGAAGCTGTGAAAGAGCTATTCCGGTTTTTTAGCCCACAATGTACGTGTACCTTGCACTAGTACTCAGAGGAACAAGGAAAATGGCGGCAGTGTATCCGAGAACCGAAGATCCTGTCGGGCGTTCAATCAGCGAAATCTTGATGAAAATGGAAATAGAGGCACGCAGGCGAAGAATTTTACGACATGCCGAGCGGAATGCTTCTGGGAAATCCCACGGAACAGAATGTTTATTGAAATCTCAGACTTAGCGTCTCGCTCCCGGAGCTCGACAGCCGAAGTTGAGCTGGGCTGCTGGCTGGCCGCCCGCCCCCTCCAGAGCCGGCCGGCGCAAAGTCCCCGAACAGATGACGAACAGACCCCACAAAAAAGCCTTGGGATATACAGAGGAACGACGCTAGGCTCTGTGAGTTAGTGAGCGGGTAAAAGAGAGGAAAAATGAGCGAACTACGACGGACCAAGGATTCTTAGCAGGTAGAACACGTCGGTTCATTTTTTCCAGCGAAAATGTCGGTCACGTTCCGTAGCCGCTACCAACCGGACCACGCAAGCCAGTCAACCATCTGCGGGCGAGCAGTCGATATTTTATCGGTGCCCTGGGAAGCCAGTTGGCACATGACTGCGAAGGGAAAAAAACCGACAGAACGCTCGAGAGAAAAGTCATGATTAGCACCTGGATCACATTCTCCCTTCGACAAAGTTAGCGTCCGAGTCTTGCAACGGCTAGGGGGAACTAACGTAATCGATTATCGATCGCGTCTTCGGGATGATTGGATAATTGCTTGTGTGATCTCCGTGCAGTTCTCTGTTTCGCAACAACTTCGTCAGCCATCGGTGTGACGAGGATCCGTACCGATGCAGTGGATCGCGTACCCATCGAGCCCGAGCTCCGCTCCTCTCTGCTCTCGCTGCGTCAGATGTTGGAACCGACCTCTGAATTTCGTTTCCCTCTTTCCCGCGTCTCGGAAAATAATCCCCCGCCGCACTTTACGCGGATGACCCATTCCCGAGGCATAATTTGGATTTTCAAGCCGCGCGCTCAGAGCCATTCAGTTCTCTCAAATGAATTCCAGGATATTCCCCAGGAAGCGCGAACAAAATGAAGCAATTCCTCCCGATGAAATCAGGCGCGAACACGACACCAACACTGTCTTTCTTTAGCCCGACGGAACCCGGATCACATAGGAATAACAAGCCGAACAACGGGGACGAGGAGAACGGAAAACGGGACAGAGGAAGAAAATGCGCGAGAATAAGAAGTCGACCGAACCAGTTGTTCGAAAAGAAAGCTTTGCCCTCGCGAAGATTCGTCCGAACTCGCGAAGGCAAGCGATTGCATTCGCCACAAGCCGCTTTACTGCATCGAGGGAGCTTATGTGAGCCAAACGCTGAAGTTGCGGCTGCGACCGAAGAAAAACGACGACGACGCCGGGAACGGCGAGCTACATCGTCCAACAACGACGGAATTCGTCCAAACAATCCCGTCGACGGGAGCTAGCGGCAGAGGGGGATCTGAGCGCCGAAACCCCGACTCCCCGCCTGGGAGCGGGCGCAGCGCACCGCCCGCGATGCCGGCATTCGCTGATGTCCATGGTGCTCGCGAAGCCGATGGCAGACGAGCGTTGCTGGTGATAGTAAAGCGGCTGTATCGACGATTCCATTTAGCCCGCTCGCTCTGAGTTCCTTCAACGCTAGCGGGAGGTATTCCGACAAGTTCGCGGCAAACAATGAACTTCTCATCAACGGAGCGAATCAAGTCCCCATCGACCGAGCGAGCGATAGCAACAATGCGTCACAACACTCTTCTCGCGGAGGAAGCCCCCCCCCCTCCCCCATGAACATCGGTGTCAGCAGCTCTGGGCGCAAACTCCGAGCCGTGAGAGTCTCTCTCTCATTTGCACTTCGGTTCGCGAGCTGGTAAAAGAGCTGACTAGATGACTACGGCGGCATTCCCTCAACCTAACCCGCTTCGTCCCCCCTCCCTGTCCCGTGCTCCTTGAGTCGCTGCGAGCGATGCTCGCTTGTTATCCACGTAGCTGAACAAGCGGATGCCAGACGGGCTTTTACTTCGTTTGCGCAAAACTGGTTTGATCGTCGGCGACGGCTCGAGGTGGATTCGTGTTCCGCCGACGAGCTCTCGCGGCGCTTCATTCGGTCTTCGGGGGAACTCGCTGCGTCTCGTCCGCAATCGGAACTCGGAAAGTATTGTACTTTGCGGAAACGAACAGAGGAACGGAAAACCGCGTTATCCGTCCAGTCGGAGAGACTCCCGCGTTTTTCAAAAAGCGGAAAAGTTCAGCCGGGCAAAAAGCGGTCCTCTACCGGGAACGGGTACGAAGTTCCAAAGTGTGTCTGATGAGCAAAAGAGAATTCGGTTCCGTTTTAGCGGAATTGCGTGCCGCTAGTTCCGACGTGACTGCGGAGACACTTCGACGAAACTCTTTGCTTCCGTCAACGACGGCGGCGGCGGGACCGGCGACTCTCAACTCACCTGTCACTTTCGAGGGATCCCACTTGGAAGTTGAGGAACGTGAGCTCAACGATGTCACCGTACTCGGCTCCCGCAGCGACAAAGTGCATCGTGCAGACGAAGGGCAGATTCCGCTGGAACGGCTCCGCGATGCGTATCGGGTTCTTGCTCCCGATCTCGCCGAAAAACGTCCGGTTACAATCTGCAATCGAAAACGACCAGGTCAGTGTTATTCCCAGAATCGGAATCAGAATAATGATAAACATAATGGATACATAATCAGGGAAAGGAAAATTCGAAATGTAGAGCTGAGATCAATCGACTGCAGCGCTAAAACGACTGGAGTCTTAAGAATGAGACTCACTTGTGCATCCCATGGCTTCGTCTGATGTGTCGCCGCAATCGTCCGTTCCATCGCAGTACTTGTTGAGAGCGACGCAACGTCCATTTTCACATTGGAACTCGGATAGTTTGCAACCACTACCATCGGTGTTGGCTGTGGCTCCTGGTCCTGTCGCCTGCGAGAGCACGTCCTGAGCGGTTAAGCTCAAGAGCGCCAGCAAGGCCCAACACAGAGGCCAATCCATGTTACATCAAAGACCGTTGCCAACTTGTCATCGCGACGCTCACTACCTGGAAACAAGAGCTCAAAACTTTCAGAACAAACGCTCTCATGTACCCGAGAGGGAAGATCAACTTTTCCGTCTGGGAATCCCGACGTGGAAGTTCCCTGGCGAGGAATTGTTTTCTTTTACTTTATCCCGGAATTCCATCTCGTTCTCGCCGATACTGGGGGCTGCTCCAGCCTTGGAAATTCAGCCGGCTATTTTTCGTTTTGGACAACGTCCCGAACTTGTTTGTTGTCCGACGTTCATACAACAATAACAGCGCCGCATTTTCTGCTCCCGGCGATCTGCTCTATCCGATGTCGGCATGATGGGGAGCCAGCGCTCCGTGCCGTTTCGGGTTCCCAACAGAAGAGCTGCTAGTGTCCGGTTGAGCTCCGGTTCTCCTCTTCGTACCAAGTCTTCAAAAAACTGTCTTATATTGTTTCCCTATTCCCTTCACTTGATAGCCCGATCATGCTGAGGCATCCCGCGAACCACATAGAAAACGGAATCCGGGGTTTCCGGACCTCCGGAAAGAGTCCCTTCGGCGACTTTATTGGCGAAAGAAGGAATCGAGGTCCCACCCACTCGTTCTGGGTGGATCCGAACTCTCGATCCCAGCAGCCAGGACGTGAGGTGAGGCGTGACGTGAAAATCGTTTATGCTGTGCAGCAGCGGATATTCAGGCAAACGGAAAACCAGTCAACACCCGGGCAACCATCTGTGATCCTACGCCAACGGAAAAAGTTACGTATGCGATACGCCGAGAGCCGAACGAACGACCAGACACACAACGTCAGCTCGCTTATCTTGCAGGAAAGATTCCGCCAACCGGGGTTGTCAGTCGACCAGAGGGATCCAGGCAAATAGCTCAAGGTTGAGCAATCGTGACTTCTCCCAGGACAGGTCTGGTTCGACCGAGTTTTTCTGCTGATTTTACAACAAATCACCGAGGCAAGAAATCCGGCCGTTCCTACCTCCACAGCTCCGGGGAGAAATGGGCGAAGAGAATTTCACTGGAGCATAGCAAAAGTATTCATTTTTCTTGAGGCTGGATGATTGATTACGCTGCTAGGAGCTCTCAGCCCTTTGGGTCCCTGACACCGGACTGACTTGTAGACTGTCCGAAATGCCAGAGTTCGCTGCTCGGACGGCAAGATCAACGTTGAATGGGAGCGCGAGATCTGAAAGTTCGTATCTGCCGGGAAGACTCGCCTCCGAAAAAAAAGGCCCGGAAGGTGGTCTACGTCGTCTCGTCCCGTTTTTCCATCTGATTTTGTTTCGCAACGTTCTTTCATACGTTTTCCTATCCTGCTCGTCTTCATCTCTCCTCCCACCAAGTTCACCGGCCATTCCCTCGCGAATCTTCTCAGCTCAGAGAAGAAGCCTTGATTCCCGTAATACGGAGGAATTGTTCATCGGCTCAGACGGAACGCAAACGCAGCGTCTGACGTCTAGATTCCCAACCGTCGGATCATCGTCAGCGAAGTCGGCAGCTATGTCAGGAGCAATATCAATTATTGAACGGAGCGAACACAAGAAATCGGCTCTGTTTCCCTCCCGGATTTGCGTCATAATTGTTCCCACTGAGGCTGTCTTGTCGGCTTTCTGTTGCGAGCTGTCCCTCTCGCGACCACTGATTACGCGTGATTTGCCTTCCTTCCCCATGATTCTCTTGGGACTCCTCGCGTAACGCCGACGATGTTCTCCGCCCCGACTCGGCAACGAGTAAAACCCGCTGCCTAGGCGACACTCAAGTGCCGAATTCTCAAGCGTCAAATCTCCGCCTCCCGGAAATTGTCGTTCATGGAGACCGACGATAGAGGGAATTCCGGAAGGAGCAGCTGCGAGAGGGAAGAATTCTCGGAAAGGTGGGGGTGGAGGGGGGAGGGGAGATGAGGCACCGAAAACGGACGGCTCCATCTCCGCGTCACTCTGTTGCGAGTCCAAATCGCGCGGACCGGGAACGGTTGCACCGTAACCGTCGGAACTTCTAACGATGAAATGTTGCCAGGACTCCCCAAATCCCTCTCGTTCGGAAGCTTCGCGAAGTGGGGATCATCCCATCGGAACAAATCCTGTGGAACGCTCGTACGCTAGCTTTATGTGCGAGACTCGTCGGAAAGCAACTTGTCGGCGTGTTTTGCACATATATTGCTCATTCCAAACCAACTTTCCCGAGGCTGAATTTGCATAAGCAGCTTCGCGCAGATGGACAGCGTCGACGAAACACTACAGCAGTCGAATCCCAAAGGGCTCGATCGTCGTTCATCCAAGGAGATGCTCTCGAGAATTTCCAAGTGCCAACGAAACGGCGCCCCTTTGACTTCCCACGGAGCAATCAACATGATGAGCACGCGGCGCTCCGAGGAATATTTAATCCCGAGGCACCTGTTCAAGTGCGATTCGAGACGGAGCTTCGGACCGCGACAGACCGCGATAAGGTCATCGTTCAGCCTTCCGATTGGGTTTTTGCAATTCATGGCCGACCGAAGGGAATCGTCTGACGGCGTACCCGACGATCTCATGTTCTCCGGCTTCTCGAAGCATCCGCCATATGGGGCCAAGGGCTTCCTATCATCGTCACGAAGTCTGTCCAGACAGACACGTCGGTCGCCAACGATGACGGCATGTCGGGGCCCGAGGAAGATTCCTAGTCTGTTGAATATATTAACACGCTCGTCTGCGTCGCAATGTCCCGAGCGTGAGCAGATGCATCGAGGAGGAGCCGTGATTTGACAAATCCTCCCAGTGGTTCTGCAACTCTGTACGGTCTTCCGCATTGGGAAACGCATCGACTAGCTTTGAGGCTCGCTCAGTCCGACTTGGGTGCCGATAAACAACTTCTTTGCCGCGGCTTGCAATCACGCTCCGCTGAATTCTGGGAACTCTTCCGAATTCCCGAAAATTCATCCTTTCCTTCGCCAACGTCGAAAGAAATCAATGGAGACGCACGTGGCTTGTCCTGCTGGAAAAAAAATGGAAGGGAAAGATGAGAAGCAGCGTTGCATACGGACGGAGGGGAAAACGCGCCGGGGGAAAAACAGAGAGAGAGAGAAATGCAGGTAGTTCGAGGGGCTCTGCATCATATCGCCGACGACACCATATATCATCCGATTGACAGGTCGCCCGGAAAGCAGCTTTCCTGCCTGGCAAGCAGACTGACTGTGAAGTAGACGGGGAGCTGCTTTTTCCCTCGCTTTCCTGTTTACGGATCCACGCCCCGAGCTCCGCCAGAGCTCGAGAGAAGGAAACTTCGGATTTTAGATGTGACTATATTTCACGCGGCTCTCGTAACTTTTCCCTGTCCTGCGACTTCAATCGCCCGACTCTCCTCCGTCTCGTTCCGACGATTCTCTGACGGTTCAGGATTTCACCAGGATCTGCTTACCGCCAGGCAAAGATTTACGGTTCTGGGATCCTGCCCCGAAGATCTCCATGATTCCCGCATTTGCGTGGAAGTTTCGACCTTGCACGTGGATATCGATCATGGACCTTGCAACCAGATTTCTGCGCGAGATTTCGAACTGTGTTCCCCGGGAAATCTCACCTCAACAGATATTCTTGGACGAAACATATTTCAGTTCCTCAAGCTGCGAGATTTCAGGCCCGCCGCCGCTCCCCGCACTCGAGGCAATTCTCGATTCGTTAGAAACCCGATTTACAGATTGCTGAACCGCTGGGGTGCGGCCGACCGGGACAAATGTCAAATACTCGTTCCGACGCCTTTCAAGGTATTTACGCCGAGGGCTATGCGCCGCATTCCTACGGCTATTGTTCGCCTAACTGCCCCGATCCTGCCATTCACTCATGCCTTCCACAGAGCGCATACCGCCGAATCTGTTGTCCCGGATTCCCTATCTCCGGGCTAATTCCGAAATGGAGGAAACAGATCGAAAATCACTCCGGAAAACAGCTCGGCTGATCGAATGTAACCGGGAACGACATCACGCACTGGGCATAGGGGGATGCCATAGAATCTACGGCGAACATGCATCAATGTGGAACGGCCTACGCATGACGCAGGAATCAGAGAACGAGAGTCAGATTAATCCACAGGTATCTCCTCGGTGGAAGAACTTTGCTTTCCAGTTTCGATCTCGTTCCGAGCCGGCTTCGACAGCTTCGAAAGTTTCGCTCGAGCCGGAATCATTTCGGACAGTGGATTCAGACCGGAGCTCGGATGCGGATCTATATATCAAATTTCAGTCTGAATACGAGGCTAGCGTGCCTGGCTGGCGGAAGAACATCTACGTGCACCGAGAGAGCGCGCGCGCCAAACACGTGTCCTGCGCCAACATGTACAGCTTCCAATCTTCGACGAGTACTTAAAAAACTACTCTGGGAGCGAAATGGAAAAAGATTTCCAGTCGCGTACGTGATGATCAACTTCGAAACTCATCGCAAACATCGACCGTGACTGCGTCAGTTTCATTCCGACTCATGTATTTTTTTCGCGGAGAAAAAATAAATCTCGAATCGGTGTCGTGTTTTGCAACTTTCAATCCGCAAGCTCAGAAACGATCCGAGGAGTTTCATCTGAGCTCCACGCTCGAGACAGTAAAGCGAATCCGCCTACCGCTCGAGGACGGGAGAAGAGCGTGATCGCAATCAAAATCGGCTCCCTCGCGATCGCGGCACTTGGCGCCGTCAGGAAGAGGATCGTCGTCGCCGCGAACATTTACATTTAGAACGGCTTAAGATATGGAACGATATACGCGCTGTGTTTTCGAAATGCTCTCTCCCGTTGTGCGCCCGGTCAAAACGAACAAAATTCCCTCTCCCTCTTATTTCTGCGTCATCTCCCCCGTGCTTCTGAGTGTCGCGCGATCCATGCCCATCTATCCGAGTGTCTCGACATTCGAGCGTCAAGAGGACGGACCAGTCCACTTCAGGGCCAACTCCCGGATGGTCCATCGGTTGCCAAGTCCTGCACGGAAAAACCCTTCAGGCCCCCATCCTTGTCTGCGGTCCTCCTG